TTCCTTCTAGTGTATCCCATCATGCATTGTTACCCAGAATGCTGTACACCATTTCATGAAATAATGCAAAAAATTCAAGTTGATTACTAATACTTATTTTGCTGTGAATAGTCGCAATTTCAATTAATATGATGTTAGTGCACGAACATATTTTGTTTTGATATTTGAGTTTCATGAATCAGATGTTTTAAAGTGTTCGACTGGGATCGACGTCTTCCCCTTTAAACATTATCTGACACGTACAGAATAGTATAAACTGTTTAATTTCACAAGTAACAAATTTTGGCGTTCTGGCATTCACACTCTATTCAACACATTGTTTACTTTTTAGATGGAAGAAGCCAAACTGAAGTTCCAGAATGAAAAGTCAGAGCGGATACGCAGGTTACACGAACGTCAAGCAAAAGAGATTGAGACATTTGATGACGAAAGCATACAGCTGGGTTTTAGTGCAATGACGATAGCCGAGATGCAGCGCCAGTCAGTTGACCCCAATGGTGGTTTCGGAGACGCTGGACCAGGTGGCAGATCACTGTAAATCCATCCTCGTAGTCTTGAAATGCTTCTCACGTGTCACCCTTGGCAGTCTAAATTAATGCTGATCTTTTTTTTTTAAATACTTTGCGAAAATCTGAGTGGATTTCTTTAGTAAACTCAGGAAATGCAAAGCTATTTTAACATGCAAGAAGCTCATAAGGGGAAGGGACACTTGTAAATACGTTGATTTCACAGTCAACCACATTTCCAGGAAACAGAACAGCCTCTAATGTCAATGTGTTTTTTTTTTTAATCTTTAAGTTTTGATAGAAATGATTGATTTTATTTTTGTGTGCATCTGGAAATCTTTAAACTGAATCTCGCTCACAGCTACAAAGCTTTTCAGCATCCATTACCTCACATACATTTATATGATATTTTTTTAAAAACAATCCCAAGTTTTGAAGCTGACCAAGACAGATAGGGTTGTTGGTTGTTGTAATCTTTATACTATTGTGCTATTATTGTTTTAAATTTTTTGCAGAGAAAGTCAAGCCTATTAACTGAAACATAATACTCCATGTGTCGTTGTCGTCCATGTGTCGTTGTCGTCATGAGAATTTCCTCAAAATAGGAATTCTGTCACTGCGCTGATCAAATAATTCAACCGTTTTGGTTTTATTTGAATGATCATTTCCCTGTACAATTAACAAGAGTAATCAATATGGTTAATTATTCTGTGATCCGATCAGCCCGAAAATAAATATAGTGGAGTATTATAAAGTACAATGATATTAAAAATGTGATAACATTACAGATACTGGGCCTTGAAGTAGTGTCTCTTTTATTACCGGTGCACACAGGCCAATGAGACCTCTTTCCTTTGTACACTGTTTAAGAAATACAGAATCTGCTATCATGCTTTTTTTTTTGACTCCCGTGTGAGAAGCACAAAGGGGAGTCTTTGCAGTTACCCTGTCTGTATGTATGTATGTATGTATGTCACTTTTTTTGTTCCACCGTTATCTCAAGAACCACTAATCAAATTTTGGTGAAACTTGGTACATAGATGCTCTGGGATAATGTGCAGAGTTGATTAGGTTTTGGTAAAAATCTATGAATATTAATTACCTAATTTGCTTGATAATTAGCTGATTTTTAGCTGTTCCATGACTGTTCCACTGATATATGAAGAACCACTCATTGGATTTTGATGAAAC